CTGGCCCAGGCTGGCCGGGAGCTAATGTACAATTTTGTGGTGGCCATCTATGCTGAAATGCATTCAGTCTTAGCTGCACAAGGCCATCCAGAAACAGCAAGGAACCAGCCCCTGCTGCGTTGGCCCCGCCCCCTGGGTGCATGCTGGGGAGGTGTCACCCTTTGTGAGGAATGAAGAAATGCACCATGCCTTGGCGCTTGCCCTGGTCCCACCCCCTTCTGCCAGAGACCCTCAGATCTGTCCCACTCCTACCCAGGCCCCCACAGGCACCCTTGACACGAACGATGTAGAGCTGGCCATGCCCACCCAGTAGGCCACACCCACTCCATCCATGCCCACCCAGTAGGCTGCACCCACCCCGGCCACATCTACCTGGTCCCCCAAGGGCAACCGCAATGCTGATGCGGCCCTCAATGAAATTGAGTTTCACACCCCTGCCCTAGTCTTTCTTTTCACTAGACTAGACAAACCCAATTCGTACAACCGTTCTTCATATGTTTTAGCTCCAGCCCTCTAATCATCTTTGTTGCTTTTCTCTGCATTTTTTCCAGAGTCTCAACATCTCAACACTAGAAGCATATGAAATGGCTTGCTAATCCCGAAGGAATTATGGCCACCTTATATGATGCAACCTGTTCATTGCAAACACCTTTACGCATTCTGCTCCTTGGCATGCTAGTAATATGGATTAGCTTGTCTCCCCCTAACACAGTGATGGCGATCCTTTTAGAGACCAAGTGCCTAAAAACTGCCCCGCTCCGGCACCCTGCTCTGGCCTGCCCTGCCCTGCCCTGCCCTGCCCTGCCCTGCCCTGCTCTGCCCTGCCCCGCCCCACCCCGTCCACCCGCAGGGCCACCCACCACCTCCACGACCCACTGCAGATGAACCAGGGGGCCCAGCAGCACCATGGCAGCCATGCCCTCTGCCCGCGCCCTGCAGCAGCATCGGCACACAATGGGGTGCAAGGGCGGAGTCCTGTCCCCGCTGCCCAGCTGCAATGTCTTTGGCTGCGCTGCTCGGCGCGGGCCGTGCCCGGGGACAACTCTCCTGCAGGGGAGGCTGCTGGTGAGGATCGCACCACGGGGAGAGGCAGGGCTGGGGTGACAGCGCACGTGCCCACAGAGAGGGCTCTGAGTGCCACCTCTGGCACAGGTACCATAGGTTCGCCACCACTGCCCTAACACATACCTTTCTATTCTATATTCTATTCATCTTCTCAGCAAGTTGGAAGTATCAGTCAGAATAGAGCTGGAAGGGACCTTGGAGGTCTTCTAGTCCAACCCCCTCCTCAAGCAGGAGACTCTATACCATTTCAGACAAATAGCTCTCCAGTCTTTTCTTAAAAACCTCCGGTGATGAAGCACCCACAACTTTGGAAGGCAAGCTGATCCATTGATGAATTGTTCTCACTGTTGGGAAGTTTCTCCTTAATTCCAGGTTGCTTCTCTCCTTGATTAGTTTCCACCCACCATTTCTTGTCTTGCCTTCCTTTCAATTCTCAACCTATTAATTGCTCCTGCAAGCAACAGAGCCGATCTCTCCAGTGGTGTGGTTAGAACATAAATCTGATGAAGCAGGCACAAAGTATGATGAAGCACGCACAAAGTATGATAGCTCAACACAGCGTGACCCGCTGGAGCCCGGCTGCTACCATGTATAGAAAGGCTGAGCCCAACCCCACCTCCCTCCCTCCCTTCTCTCTCCAGACTCTTTCCCGTCTGCCACATGCACGGAGCGCCCTGCTTAGCACTTCCTCCATCTCCTTTTGGCAGCCTTTGTTAACAGAGGAGGGAAAAAGAACAGCCCAGAACAGGGGTCTTCAAACTTGGCTCTTTCATGACTTGTGGACTTCAACTCCCAGAATTCCTCAGCCACCATGCCTGGCTGAGGAATTCTGGGAGTTGAAGTCCACAAGTCATAAAGGGGCCAAGTTTGAAGAACCCTGGCCCAGAAGGAAAAATAGGGTGGTTTTTTTCCCCCTATACCAGTGGTGGCGAACCTATGGCATGGGGGCCAGTGGTGGCACTCGGAGCCCTCTCTGTGGGCACACGTTGCCCCAGCCTTGCCTCCCCGTGATCCCCTCCTCTCCAGCAGCGCAGCCAAGGACATGGCAGCCAGGCAGCGTAGACAAGGCTCTGCCCTCACACCCCATCATGCAGTTGATGCTGCAGGGCGTGGGCAGAGGGTGTGGCCGCCATAGCGCTGCTCGGCTGCCTGGGCGACTGGTGGCGGGGCCGTGGAGGCGGTGAATGGTCCTGTGAGCAGGTGGGGCGGGGAATGGGGGGGCAGAGTGGGGGTGGGGCAGGGGGTGGAGCGGGGGCGGGGCCAGTTTTTAGGCACTCGGTCTCTAAAAGTTTCGCCATCACTGCCCTACACCCCTGAGCAAAAACAGAAGGCAGTCCGTTTGACACCATGCCAATCTTAAGAGCGGGGGGAGGGGGCTGTGA